TGAGCACGACTCATAGTGATCCTATGCACAAAAGATCTGAACCCTGTTCCATTTTGTGCCATCCTCACACTTCCTAACACACAAGGGCCCACTGCAGCAGTAACCATGTCAAGCCACCTGGTTGAGGATCTTCCTCTCCTTCACTGACTCTCCACCTTTCCCAACATCATGTCTCTTCCAAGGAATATCACCTCCTAACAACATGTCCAAACTATGTGAAGTGAAGCCTCATCATTCTTGCACCCTGTCAAAGACATATATATTTGCTTTCTTGGCCATCCATGGAATGTTCTGTACTCTTCTCCAACACCACAGCTCAAAGGCATCAATTATTTTTCCGTCACCCTTATTCATTGTCCAGGTCTCAGATGCACAGGTAATCAGAAAGACTATGGCCTGATTCAGATGCATCTTAGTCCTCACACTAACACAACTAGTCCTCAATAATTTGGAAAAGTTGACAGTTTCAATTTCCTTTCCATTCATTATGACACTGCCTATTGGTCCGGTGACAAGAATCTTTTTTCTTGATATTGAGACGCAGTCCACTGAAGGCTGCATTCCTTAAGCTTCTGCAACAAGTGCTTCAAGTTCTTCTCACTTCCAGCAAGTAAGGTTGTGTCATGTGCATAACACCAGTTATTGATGAGTCTCCCTCCAATCCTGATGCCACATTCCTCTTCAAAGAGTAAAGCTTCTTGGATAATTTCCTCAGCACATAGATTAAACAGCTCTGGAAAGAGAATACAACCCTGACACACTCCTTTTTCAATTCCAAACCATACAGTGCTCCCCTCTTTCTTTCGCACAACAGCCTCCTGATCCAGGTATAGGTTCCACGTGAGCACAATCAAATCCTCTGGGATTCCCATTTTTCTCAATAGCCACAACTTGTCATGATCCACACAGTCAAACGTCTTTGCATAGTCAATAAAGCACAAATATATATTCTTCTGGTATTCTTTACTTTCAACCAGAATCCATCTGACATCAGCAATGATAACCCTGGTGCCACGACCCATATAATAAATAACATATTAAAGATGATGTTGTTTTTACTATGTGCCATCGAGGCTTCTGCAACTCTGGTGGCTTAGTGGCAAGAAGCTACACTCTGCAATCCTGAACTCACATTGATTGAGGCCACCAGCTGTTCCATAGGAGGATGGGCAAACTCCTGTGTGATTAATTGCATTTGGAAACCCGCCAGAGGATCAGCTATGGATTGGTTCTGACTCTATAGTACACAACAACAACATTTATAGTAAAAATAACTAAATATTATTTCTCTTAATAAAAGGAAAAGACAATCTTGATTTTTTTTAAATAACTGAGGGTCATAATGTTATAAATTTGCTTAGATTTGCAAACTAAGGCAAATATACTAGAGTGTTGCTTTATGTATACTGATAATCCATGTTTCCCTATAAATATTAATATGCCACATCATTGAGACATAGCAAGAATATAGAAGAACTTGACACACAGTTGTTGTTTTGTGGTTATGTGCCATTGAGTCGCTTGCGACTCATAGCGACCCTATATACAACAGCCCTAAACTCTGCTCTGTCCTGTGCCAATTGCACCCATCCCAATTACCCCAGTCACTGAATCAATCCACCTCATAGAGGGCCTTCCCCTCCTGCACTGTCCCTCCACCCTCCCAAGCATGATGTCCATATCCAAGGACCGGTCTCTCCTCACATCCTGTCCAAAGTATGTTAGACAGAGCCTCAGAATCCTTGCCTCCAAGGAACCTCCCTGTTTAACCCTCTCCAGGATGAATGTTTGTTTTCTTGGCAGTCCATGGCACCCTCAATACTCTTCTCCAACACCACAGCTCAAAGGCATCAATTCTCCTTCTATCCTCCTTAGTCATTGTCCAACTCTCTGATGCATAACAAGTGGTAGCAAAGACCATGTCCTGTATCAGACGCACCTTAATCTCCATAGAGAAACCATTACTCTTCAGCACTTTGGAGAGGTCCCTAACAGCAAGCTTTCCCATGCCAATACATCTTTTAATTTCCTGGCTACTGGTGCCGAGAGTGTTGACTGTGGAGCCAAGCAAACTAAAGCTGTGAACAATCTCAATCTCTTCACCGTCCAACAGTAGATTGTCAATAAATAGTGAGTGAATAAATTAATAAATGATGTTCATTGGATTTCTGTAATTCCCATTAAGCAGTATTTTTCAACTCTATGGTGTACAACCTTGATAAAGATTTCAGTTGATAAATTCAAGCATTCATAGAGACCGAACTATCAAGAATACAAGTACTAAGTTTCATGGCTTCAGAATGTACTCGAAACCATTTATGTGATTTCTCATAGGCTTCTACCAAAATCAACCCATTGATTTGGGCTTGTAATGATTCCCCATTGGAGTTCCGAGACTGTGAATCTTTATGGAAAGATGTTGTCCATCTTTCTCTTGAGGAGTAGTTTGTGAATTCATATAGTATTGGAATGACCACTAACAGTAACAACAAAAATACTCCTTAAACACAGGTTACTTGTGCTGCTGTCAGAGAAGAACAGGTCAGGAACTAATGTGACCAGAATCATGAGGACTGTTTTTTCAATGTAGCAGCAGGGAGATATTCTATTTTTTTTAATGAAATTTTTATTTTATACTTGTTTGCCTACTAAGTTTGTATACACTATTTTTCCACATCAGATCTCTCTCATTTTCTTTATTATTCACCCCTCCCTCTACCCATCAAATTGTGCGACCCTATAATTACCCCCCTCTCCATCCTCACCACCATGGCACATAACAACAACAACAACAACATGAATTTCTAAAAAAATAAACAGGTGTGTCCTGAAGAGGGTGAAATTAGATTACTCCTTGGAGTCAAGGATTTTGAAGGTCTGTCTGACATATTTTGGGCATGCTGCCAGGAGGAACTTGTCCTTGGAGAAGGACATCATTCTTGTAAGGATAGAGGATGAGTACAGGGGAAGAAGAGACTGGATGAGACGGATTGACACAGTGACTGGCAATAGAGTTAGTTGTATCACATAAATTGAGATTGACTCAGGATAGAATAAGGTTAAGGACCATTGTTCATAGGGTCTTTATGAGTCATAGTTGACATGATGGCACATAACAAGAACTGCTTATTATGTATGTTGCAATTATGATGAATTTATTAAGCAGAGAGATACTTTTTTTTTAATTTTTTTTCCATTTCAATGAAAATCTACAGAGATTTTGGAATTCCATTCATTCATTGTTGCACTTTTCTTCCTGCCCACCTCACCCCCACCCCCTGTTCGCTCCTCTCCTTGAAAAGCAAAAGAAAAACTCCTTCATTGGTACACAATCCCCCCGCACACACCCCAACACCATCCACCTCCCAAATATAATCCACTCTGCAACCCTCACTCCGTACTCTTATAATAAATATAATGCCCTAAAATATAAAACTTTTAAACTATTCTCTCCCTCATAGACTTCAATGCAGTAAACATAATTTATCCAGTTTTTCTCAGTCTTACCCCCATCCCGATGTCAGTCTCATTCTACAGCAGTGGCACCATATAGCATTTGTCCCTTTGTGACTGAGATATTTCACTCAGCATCATGTCCTCCAGGGTCACCAATTTTGAATAATATTGCATGAGTTCCTTGTTTTTCAATGTAGTGTAGTATTCCATTGTGTGAATATACCACAGCTTCTCCACCCATTCGTTTGTTGATGGGCACTTAGGTTGTTTCCAGCTCCTTGCTATTGTGAACAAAGCCGCGATAAACATGGGTATGTGTATATCTACTTGGATGTCGTTTATGGTCTCTTTAGGGTATATTCCCAGTAGTGCAATTGCTGGGTCAAATGTTATCGAAGCCGAGAGATATTCTTAAATTTTAGTCTCAACAGGTAGCTACTAATGGACTAGGGGGAAAAAAATCTCTACTTCTTAATTTCCCAATAGCTACCAACAAAAAAATGCCAAAGATTATTTTCAAATAATCTCTACATTAAAACTAACATTAATTTTTCCCTCTGGCCAAAAGACTAAATATTATTTTAAATGAATAAAGTTGATTTTTATGAAGAACTAAAGATTCCTTCCAAATTCTGTATCTTTCCTTAAAGCTTTGTATTATGATTTTGTTCCTAGAATTGGGGGGGGGGGGAAAGAAGAAGAAGAAGGCAGGGACAGGCACGTAACTCTCATTTCCTAGGCCTTGAAATAAGGACCTCTGGTGACCTAGCAGGAAAAGAGCTTCTAACCCAAAGTCTTATATTTTCAATCAAACAAGTGCTCCACAGGAGAGAGATGAGCAATCTCTTCCTATGTGACCTATAAAGGGAGGTATACTAATGAAGGAAATTTTTTTCTAAAAAAAATAATTTTAATGAGAAAAAAAATAAAATGAAATTTAAAAAAAGTAAAAAAAAGGGGGGAGGGCCAACAATGAATTGGTGTCAGTTCACTAGCCATACATGTTGCCAAAGTTATGCTGCAGAACAGAGCAAGATTTGGTCTGTTGTTCATAGGGTTTTTATGAGTTGTAGTGAACTTGATGGCGCCTAACAGCAACAACATTTGTCAGAAAGACTAGAGTGTTAGTTCAGTGGTAGAAGTTTCGCCTTCCCTGATCATGTGTAGCTACCACTTGTCTGTAAGGAGAGGCTCGCGCATTGCTTTGATGCTCTAGAACTTCTAGACTAACAGTGTATGAAGAAATACCTGAGGAGGAACTCAGAAAATCATAGAATGAAAATCCTGTGGATCACAAAGGTCTGATCTGCAAACGGTTATGGGAAAGGCATCGGGCTACACTGACTTTTTTTAGTTGTGTGGGAACATCATGAGTCAAGAGCTGGATTTGGCAGTTAGTAGTAACAACAACAGTTGTTCAAGTAAAAGAAAAGATTCTTTTGATTCCAGAAGCTAATTTTGGCAATGGTTTTCAACTTAAGAGCTGATACTGTATGACTTTGCTATTAAAGTGGTGGTGTTGATATTTTACATCTTTGACTTACCTTGCATTGTTAACTGAGATTTTCCTGGTTGTAGGATAGTAGCTACAGGTCGTGGTGGGGGTGGAGGAGGTCTGCTGCTCAGGAGTGACTCTGATGGATTATTTTCTGGATCATCTCCAGGAATAAACACATACAAGTCGTCATACTGGTTCTCTGAGCTCTCACTGCCAGCATCCGTTGGGCTGTACGCAGCCTCCTTGTCTGATTCATTCTCATTGTCTTCTTCCACTGCTTCAGCTCCTTCAACTCCCGATCTGCAGGCCTGCCAGCTTTCATGATGAAATGCTGCATTCTGTGAGGCTGTTCATGATAAAGGTTTTATTATTTCTTTTAAACAGACCATCTGGAGGCATTTCATATTTTGTAATTCTGTACAGAAGTAGTAGTACCACTAATAAAACTTTTATGAACTGATATAGTACAAAGTTGTCAACTGTGTAACTTTGTTGAGCAGTCATTTCTAGGCTTTTGAAATATTTACTAACTGAACAGAAAAAGCATCCATTTTATCCTGCTATCTATTTCAATACATGACACACTCATGGACATAATACTCTTCTGATTCTAAGGAGTCTGTGTTTAAGGGAATTCATAATTTTGACAGCTTTTTCAGTTAGGAGGTAGTATAACTTATCTAATACAATGAACAATGGTTATTAAACATACAGATGGAGACTGCCCATCTTTCTCCTGTGTAGCCACTGATGAATTCTAATTGCCACAAAAGGCGAGGTCTTTGAGTTAGGAACACAACTCTCTTTGGACTGTATTACCAGATTTCTTTTGAAGGAAAATTATTATTGTTGATGTTGTCACATACCGTCAAGTCAGGACTTAATCATAACTGTCACTTCAACAGGTTTTTTGAGGCTATAAATCATATGGGAGGAGAATGCCCATCTTTCTGCCCCTGGAACAGGTGGTAGATTTGAACTGCATGCATTGGGATGGCAGCACAACTTCTTACCACTAGGCCACAAGAACTCTGCTGTTACTGTTTTTGTTGTTAGATATCATCAAGTTCACTATGACTCATAGTGACATTATTGATAACAGATATTAACCTTGCCCTATCCTGCACCATCCTCATGATGTCTGTCATGCTCAAGTTCCTGAAAGAGGAAAATTAATCATGTGGAGAAAAGCATGCTCATGATGGTACCCCATACTTCTACCTGGATTTTTACTTTTCCCCTGCTCCCTTACTATGAGAGTAAAGTATGACATGATGTCTAGTACTAGCATGGCAAGTGAAGATTTTTTTAATTAACAAAGTATGAGGCATAGACTTTCATTCTTGGTAGTTCTTGCTACACAGGTATCTCATTAATCTTTCTTCACCTAACACCAAACATTGAAACTAGAAAGTGCAGTCTCTACATGTGTAAAAGACAAATGGCAGGAAAAATTCAGTCTTCTTTCATGTGATTTACTGTTTCTGAATACTTGCTGGAGGGTTAGCTACAGGTTGGTTCCAACTTGATGGCACACAACAATAGCAACTCATGTAAATGAAGCAGATCATAGAATGACTGAAATAAATCTTTGCTGAGGCAAGCAAAGGGACTTCTTTATTTATATTCGGAAAAATTACGTATCACATTACAATTATAGTCTTGCTTTAGGAAAATACTTATAGTTGTTCTCCTGTTTATAGAGTTCAATGTTTCTTTTACTAACTGTGAAACAAGATTCTCTACAGTATTTGTCAAGTATCTCCACAGTATGTCAAAGTATGTCAAGTATGCCAAACATACTGGGTCAATGAACTACATTCAGCAAACAGGATTCAGATCTATTGTTCATAGGGTCACCATGAATTGTACTCAACTTGTTGACACCTAACAATAACCACATAAACCTATCTGGTAACTATGATACCCATAATGTTCACTCATTTAGAGTGTCTTTCTCCCAAGGATAATGCTGCAGGTTGATTCTACCATTGTAGCTGCATGGGGCTTTATATTTGAGAAAAGGCCTAAATAATCTGTACAGAATTTATTCTGTACAAAGAGTTGAAATAGTGTGTTCTTACTGCAGGCAGTTCTGGAGATTAAATGCCGTAGCAAATATATGATCAAAATCAATCAGTCTATAATAATTTTCATTATAATTTACAGTGGTAAAATATATGACCATAAAATTTGGTGCATTATGCTTTAGTATTTGGGGGGAGGAAGAGGAGAGTACCATATTACTAATTAAAGTTTACTAATTTCTAGAAGAGCACTAGTTAAAGCATGACTTTTAAATGTACATTTCACTTAATTTACAAGTCCTCTCTAATTTGGAAATTTAGTGGTCAATGAACAATTGGGTATCTGTTTATCTGTTGGGTAGGTACCATAAAGTTGGCTATGACTCATAGGGACTCTCTAACAACAGATTTGAACCCTTTCCTATTCTTCACTATCATCCCAATGTCCACCATACTCAAGCCACAGTCAGTGTGTGTGCCAGTTTATTTCACTGAGGGCATTCCTCTCTTTTTCTGACCTTCCCCAGAATGATGTCTTTTTCCAAAGACTAGTGCTTCCTAACAACATGTTCTAGAATTCCCATTGTTCTCAACGTCAGGTATAATTTGTTATGCTACCAATCGGTAGCATCAGGATAGCTGGTGAAGAGATTGAGATTGTTCACAGCTTCGGTCTGCTTGGCTCCACGGTCAACCCTCTTGGCACCAGTAGCCAAGAAATCTAAAGACGTATTGCGATGGGAAAGTCTGCTGTTAGGGACCTCTCTAAAGTACTTAAGAGCAACGGTGTCTCTCTGGAGACTAAGGTGACCCTGATACAGGCCATGGTTTTTGCAATCACTTGTTATGCATCAGAGAGTTGGACAATGACTAGGGAGGATAGAAGGAGAATTGACGCCTTTGAGCTGTGGTGCTGGAGAAGAGTATTGAATGTAACATGGACTGCCAAGAAAACAAACAGATTCTTCCTAGAGAGGGTTAAACCAGGATGCTCCTTGGAAGCAAGGATTCTGGGGCTTCGCCTGACATATTTTGGACATGTTGTAAGGAGAGAGGGACATCATGCTGGGCAGAGTGGAGGGACAGCGCAGGAGGGGAAGATCCTCTATGAGGTGGATTGATTCAGTCACTGGGGTAATCGGGATGGGTGTGTCAGAGGCAATGAGATTGGCACAGGATAGAGCAGAGTTTAGGGCTGTTGTACAGAGGGTCGCTATGAGTCACAAATGACTCGAAGGCACATGAAAACAAACAACAACATACAGTCAAATGCTTTTGCATAGTCTATAAAACCATTTCAACACTGCCCACTCGTGATAAGTTTCTTAAGCCTAGAACAGGGATTGCTACTTTGAAGACAGCTGATTGACAACATCCCTGCTTTGGGCCTTGTGTGGACTATCAGGATAAAGATCCAGCCAAGCCATCACCATGAACTTAATATCCACACATCTGAGATATTACTCTGCTGTGCCAATCATGGGCCTCAGAAGGTTCCAGCATCAAACCTGGGCCCCATCTTTCCATGCTGCCACAGGCCTCAGCTGGGCCTGGTACCATGATATTCATACATCTGTTTTGCTATTAGAGGTACAAGACATCTGTTAGGTTGTTATATTGAGGGAATGGTTTGCATATAGCTAATTATATTGGTATAAGTACCCAGGAAATGAAAAGATTAATTGCATTGGGAAAGTCTGCTGTCAGAGACCTCTCCAAAGTACTAAAGAACAATGATGTCAGTCTATAGACTAAAATGCTCCTAATTTAGGCCACGGTCTTTGCAAGTACTTGCTAAGTAACAGAAAGCTGGACAATGATTAGGGATGAGAGACAGAGAATTGACGCCTTTGAGCTCTGGTGCTTGAGAAGAGTATTGAATACTGTGGCTGACTAGAAGAACAAACAGGTTCATCCTAGAGAGGGTGAGACCCTGCTGCTCCTTGGAGGCAAGAATTATGAAGTTTTGTCTGACATACTTTGGACATGTTGCAAGGAGGGACCAGTCCTTGGAGGAGGACGTCATGCTTGGGATGATGGAAGAAGAAAGAAAAGACCCTCGATGATATGGATTGATTCAGTGATTGGCGTAATGGGGGCAGGTGTGTTGGAGACAATAAGATTGGCACAGGATAGGGAAGGGTATAGGGCTGTTGTACATAGGTTCACTATGAGTTGCTAGTGACTCGACAGCACATAACAACAAACAACAATAACAACAACAACAACAATTACAGTTTTGGTGTGTATATGCTGGCTTTTTAATCATTTGTTATTATTACTACGACACTTTTTTGTCAATTAGCTGTACTGAGGTAACCTGTGGGTGCTGTGATGCTGAAATCTACGTCTTTGGTGTGTCAAATTCCAGAAAGGTCACCCATAGTGAAAAGGTTTCAGGAGAGCTTCCAGATTAAGACAGATTAGGAGGCATGATTAGGGAGTACTGATAGCTTAGTTACAAGTAACTACACTGAAATCTGGAAGACACGTGTTTCAAATTCACCAGCCGTTCCATGGGAGAAGGATGAGCAATCTTCTACCATGAGATTAAATGCCTCTGAAAACCCACTGGTCAGTCAGCTATGGGTTGGTTGCAATTCGATGGTACACAACAGCAGCAAAGAGGCATGATTGACCAACCATTCACTTGTGTTAATAACAAGCCTCTGAAAATGCTATGAACAATAGAAGAACACAGATAACTAGAGTTATTAGAGCTAGAGCCCAGACTGGCAGTCAATAAAAATGAGCTGGACAATGACTAAAGACAGCAGAGAAAGAATCAATGCCTTCGAGTTGTGGTGCTGCAGAAGAGTCTTGAACATACCATAGACAGCCAAGAAAAAAAAAAAAAAGATTTGTCTTTTAGAGGGTGAAGCCAAATTTCTCCTTGGAGGCTTGGATTTTGAAGTTCCATCTCACATATTTAGGGCATGTGGCCAGGAGGGACCAATTCTTGGAGGAAGTTATGCTCAGAAGAGTGCAGGGACAGCGCAGGAGATGTAGACCCTGGATGAGATGCAGTGATACAGTAAATGGGACAATGGGTTTGGTGTGTTGAAATCAGTGAGAGTGACTCAGCTTAGAGTGAGGGTTAAGAGCTGCTGTACATAGGTCATTATGAGTCACAGGTAACTCAATAGCACGTAACAAAAACAACATCATCAAGTGCAATATAGGGAAGTACAAAGCATGCCAGTATAGGGAAGTAATGGGTAGTGGTTGAGGGAGCCAGGATACAAAAAAAAAAAGGAAAAAGAAAAAGGAAGTCATAGAAGATGAATGTGCAGAGGGAGGAGAGAGTGTGAAAAGCTCA